ATCAACGGACATGCTATGATTTAGATGGTGGTGAGTCCTGGTGTCTTTGGGGTGGTCTTTAAATTGTGGGTTTTTTTTGTTTTTTATGAGAACTTTATTTGTTTTCTTTTCACACACGGAACACTGATTCTTAGTTGTAGAGGTAATTGGCGAAACGAATCAAATAATACTTGAGAACTCTGCTGGCTTTGGAATGTGGGCATCTTTTTTGTTGATTCATTATGCCCTTCTGTAGCCTAGACTGTGCGTAAGGACATTTTGGAAGTAGAATTTCTTGATGCCTGATAACATTCCTGGAGCACTAGTTGCATTTCATCAAACCAATATTCCTCTTTTGATTTTCCTGTTGAGTTTTCTTTTGTTGGGATTTTAATCTATTTAAAGGGTTAACTGTTGAGTTACATAATGGTGTTTGCCCGACCTTTTTTTTAAAGGGCCAGCAAGGCCTCTCCTGCCTAATGTAGGCTGTGTATTTACCAGTTTTATGAGGCTGGCTTCCATCTTCTTCATGATTTTCTCCAGTCCTGTGAATTTTTGAATGGCCTGTAATGCCTTCTGTTTATTTTTCTCAGACTTACACCAACCCTCCAGGGTTTTCGTGTCCTGGGGTTCCCATTGTGCCAGCTGTTTGCGTCTACTTCAACATGTTCCTGTTTGCTCAGGTGCACTTTTAGAGAATCATTTTTACAAGCAATGTCTCCTTACAAATTGCCAACCTCTGAAATTAATCTGTTCTTATAGAAAAGCTAGTTAATGATGGCCAACTTTCCTTTATGCAGTTGCACCACGAAGCCTGGGTGAGGTTTGTTGTCCTGAGCATTATCATGGTTGGAATATATGCATTCTACGGGCAGTATCATGCCAAACCAGGTTCGGATGAGTCAATTATTTATCAGAGAGCTCCTACAGAACCAACTAGATAGTTCCATCTTAATATGCCTTGTTGTCTGTTGTAGCATTTATTCTCTTGTATTTACCAATGTAACTAAGCTATGGCTATTTATACAAATGACATTTTTATTTATCAAAACCCTTGAGATTTTTTCAGAACATGGCAATATAAAAGTGCAGTATCGCACTACTTGGCAATTTTCACCTGCATCTTATTGATTTATTTCATCGATTCAAATCACTGACCTTAAAGCATGGCTCCCTTGTATTTTCAGAACATATTATTCCTTCTTGCTTTCTTTCCCTCTTTCCCCACTTTCCAAACAGCCTTATTTTCTTTATGTAGAGAAATCCCATGCATAAAAATATCACGCGAGTCTCGGGATTGAAGGATGAAAATAACAGAATCCCCAGGAGGAACATCTTGCCGTTGAACATCTCTCTGTTAAGTGCTCGAGCTCTCCTTGCCTTTACCAGTTTTCCGTTCCACAGTCCACATCTCCCTAACATTCTCCACAACCATGTCGCAGAGTAGATCGAATGCCCTCTGACGCTCATCATTAGAACAGAGTGTGGCCCGGTGCCGAAGTCCTCCTTCCTGCCTGTGGCATCTTCCTCCACTGGCCAACGCATGCTGATTTCAAATTCTATTGAAGAAAAGAGTGCTGGTTTTGTAAGCAGCCAACCCTAATTAAAGCAGGAAAAACCGACTCCTGACAGCAGTTGACGTAGAAAGACTACTGAGTATGGAGAAAAACTATTGAAGAAAACATTTTGTAAGTCACTAAATCATCGGGCCAAATTTTGTCCCATTGAAACTAGAACCTCAAAGCAACATTCAGGGTGTATTAACGAGAAAATTCTTTCTCACATCTAGACTTGGTTTCGAATCCGGGGTAGTTGCATGAAAACCAAAACCATTTATCATCTAAGCCAAAAATCTTAAGGGTTTATAAAACTTCAACTACTAAATAGCAAATAATGATATTCCTGAAGATTGTTGATAATTTAGAGTCATCGTATAAAATTAAAATTCCGACTTTCTCAAATGCTAATTTTCAATATGGCCTTTCTTAGACAAGGTAAAAATCCACGTAGTAGGAATAAACTTTTAGCGCGATAATGTTCCGACAAAATTGCCTTTTAAAGGCTTAACAAAAGCCTGTCAGTCGCACACGACATCAGAGTAAAATCCTGTAGTCTTCCTTTGACAGTCCTTAAAATTGAGGAATTCCACGTCAAAAACTTCGAGCTGTTTTGAGCTGAAAAATGTAGAAGGTCCAACCTGTACAAATGATTAGGTAATCAACAAATTCTTATAAATAAAGAACCGGGGCATGAACATTTGGAACTAGACAAAAAATATTCTTACCAGTGAAGCACCCATGATCTGGATAGTTGGCAATAAGTTTAAACTTATTAACCGTCCTTTCCTTTTTTGGGAAGGAAAGATAAGAATGGTACTTGATTGAATTTTTTATTGTTCTACTGAGAAATCTTCTAAATCCAGGAAAATAATAGTTTGAAAGTCTTCCCCGCAACTGTTATTGACCATACTGCATAGGCAGTTAACATGAAGATGAAGCAACCATGGAAAGAGTAAAAGGGATATGGATGGCATTTTATGGGAGTCTTGGCCTCAGCCTCAAAGGCAGGAAAACAGAATAGAAGCATCACAAGTGTCACTATATATGCCTGGAACTGCGAAGCAATAACTAGCATATTGGTTCTCTTTTCTTACTTTTCTCTCTCTCTATCTTATCCTAAAACCCCTCAGGAAATATTTCCACAGGACCCAGTTGCATATAATCAATAAAAAGGAAGAAATCATGATTAAGGAAAGGGAAGTCGGGTGATGTTGGATAAAGAGATACTGAATTGTGCAGAAAGAGAAGGAAGCAGGCAATTCGAGAAACTAGCCAGTGGCCCAAGTTCTTGAGGAATGATTATCTCTCTTCCCCCCAGGTCTCAAGTCTCGAATTCCTTCCTCAAATCCTGCTTAAGTTCCCTTGTTAACTACCTCTATTGCTTACAGCTTTTAGTTTGAAAAGAAGGCAAGCAGGTCTGGATAGAAGGCACACGATTGTACTGAAGTCTGGATGTAGTCTGTTCGCTTGGAATCAGTGCATTGGTGCCCACGAGGATTTTCACAGGAGAACCCTGCAAGTAGGTGCTGCAATGCGACGATCTGAGTCAGTATAGCCAACATAGTGGAAATTCACCTGCAAAGATTCTAAACTAAATTAAAGCTCGACAGTGAACAAGATTTTTGTAGAAACAAGCAATTTCACCCGCGTTTATGCACGGATCATAATTTTTTTTTTTCTTTCGAAGAAAAGGAACATGACAGTTCTTCTAACACAACATAAAGTGATTTTGATAAGTGGATGGCATCGCACCTGCTATCTAAATGGCACGTATGTCACCTATTTTCTTAGAAGAAAAGAGACCTCCCAAGCAGGACATGTTACGAGGTTTCTGTCTGCACAAAGTTCAAATAAAAAAAGCACAAGTATCAATATAGGAACAGGGAAACGAAACAAAAAAATCCTAGCATGGTTGCCAAGGGGCGAAAGTATAATATACCTAACTTCTTAAATTGTAGCCTCAAATTACCGCAAAATGCAACTTTTCTTAGCTTCCACACATGCTCAACTTGTCAGAGGCACAAATTTATCAGCTCTCAGCAAATTATGTCCAAAAAGAAAGGTATAGTTCACTCCATGTGAGCAACTAGTCACTTTCACCGCTCATGATTGCTTCTGTTTAGAGTGTACTAACACAGGAAGACTAGCAAGGAAGGGGTCATAGTAAAATTAAACTAAATAAGAAGGTATAGTTCATCTAGTTGACTTGTTGAGATTAAAAAAATAAAAATCGAAACACCATTGTTTTAGTTTTTCATTAAATTAAAGGATTGATCCAAGTCTTTTGTCCAGTTAAACTCCGAATCAGATCTGAGAATTACAATAAAGGTTCAGAGATGCTAAACTATTGGATTTGATTCATCCATGAATTTCTTCTCACTATAATTACTTTTCTCTTCTATATGTTAAAGTCTGGATATGATATAAGACAGGAATTGGACTGTGACTGTCCAAGTATTACCATTCCTTATTTCACCGACTCTTTTTACCTATATAACTCGTTGATAGTATAAACATATTTTTTTATATTTTACATTTTTAAAAACATATAAATTCATTCTAAAATTATTACAAAAAATAGTTTTTTTATCTTTATCTTTTCAACCTTTTTAACTAAATATGATTCAATTTTTTAATAATAAATATTTATCATTTTTACTCCGAAACATTAATAAAGACAACCTCAAAGGAGTTTACAAAGCTAAGAAACATTAAATTTAATATACTAGCAAGTGACTTGTGATTCGCTATAGGCAAGAGAAATAAAAAAAACCTTTTCTCAATAAAAAAATATAATTTTATTCAACACCTTTTGTTATATTATGACAAACGCAAAAACAAATCAACGAGGATAATATATTTTATATTAGCTTTTTGTAATGTTTAATAATATATTTAGATTAAAAGTGATTTCCTTTAAAAATATATTTTGGATGTTTTTGAAATGATCTGGAACATAGAAATCAATTAAGAAAACATGCTTTTTGAGACAAATCACCCCCAAAATTACATAGCAAATAGTGTCTTACAAATTTGCGCACGTACACAAAAGCTGTGACACGGATCAAAAAGAGGGGAAGAGAATCCAGTTCGTTCAAAAGTTCCAACGAAAAGCAAATCTGATCATGTACGTTTACAATCTGGAAAATTTTTCCTTCAAAAGGACAGAACTTGCGTCACGGACTTTGATAAGAGAAACAGTACCCATGACCATCAGTACCAGCCATTTCTTTGCTACTCTGAAAAGATTGAAAACAACCCACCTTCCTCGCAGTAGCACACATCTCAGGCGGAGGAACAAAGGGATGCTATACTTCTTCATGTCCTCCACTCTGCACATGACCTCAAACTAGGAAAAATCACAACACTAGGGGAAACAGAGAAGGATACCATCACTTGTGTTGTGTTTTATGGGAAAAAAAAGGGAACTCCTAAATTACACTCCCGGTAGATTTCGACATCTCAATAAACCTGGATGTCTGCAGCTATGCTACTCAACTGATTACCCCCGATGGAGCTTCCTGGTTTCTTCATTGAAGATTTCTGGTCAGGGTGGCACCCAAGCCACAAGCATGAAAGTCTGGAAATAGCTGCCCGGCTAGCAAACTGAACCTTACAAGCCAGGCCATGCTCTGCCAACATATCATTACCCACTAAACCCGAGTCACAGCTAGCATCATATCCGTCAAGTTCAGAGTCTGTTACCAACACAGCAGATCCATCATCAAAGGATGATGTTTCGTTTTTCGCGTCCCCTCTCTTCGGAAGATCTAAAGCCTTTTGAGTTACCGTACAGCCAGGGACACTAGTTTTTTTCACCTTGAGAAGATAGTAGTCTTGACCAGCCTGTATAAAGGGATTAACGTGGAATGATTTTAGGAGAAACCCAAGCGTTATTGAATGACAGATTGGCAATAAAAGGAACCATCAAACCAATAAAACGACAACTGTACTTCAAAGCAATGAAAATAAAATGGCAGATTGACAGATCACAGTTAGTTCCATGAACAAAAGGTACAGGGTCAAAATCCAAGTCGGTAAATCGTGAGTCCGCTCTCAATCCAAGTCATTTGATCTAGAGTGAAGCTTGAAATTTCTAGCTCTTCTTTGTCCAGATTCCTTGGCAGAGAATAAATGTAACACGTGTGTGTGTGATGCAATCCATAGAAAGGTTACATTGAATTAAAATGAAGGATGTACATGAAAGCTATATCAACCTTACCTGCCATTGCGAAGAGACCAAAAGTACCCTGGGCCTGATAGATCTTACATGCTCGTATGCAGCCTTGGGCAACATATGCCTGTGTTCCACCTGTCAAGAAACAGAAAATCTCATACAGGTTAAAAGAATGCTCAACAAAATATAGAGAGTCAGTAAGTTGAATTTCTCGACAGGTTACATTTGAATTTATACATACTAGGTAACAGAGAACAATGGTTGTACTGCGCCCCCTACCAGCCTTGCAGTGAACATATGTTGTCCTCCCAAGAGAGGCATTTTCTTCATAAAGTTCAACAAAAAAAAGAGTTGATATAAAAAAATAAAATTATAAATGACTCCCTCTGGAGGGGGAAGCAAAAATCTATTAAAAATACAACTGCAATACCAGGGAATGAACGTTTACAACATACTTACTATGTATGAAGTCTACAGCTTGGCATATATCAGTAAATGAAGGGGCAAACAGATAGTCTCTCGTCGGAATGACCAAATGATCTATATCATGAGCCTACAAAAAAATATCAACAATGAACATAAATGTGTATCAGCACTCAAGCATAATCACGTGGAAAAAACAGGCAGATTCTTTCCCCCTTTTCACATTCAAGCAACAACAATCAGTGACTTACGTGGGCTTTTAAAGGCAGTATTGGCCATTTAAGTAAATAATTTCTCCTAGATTATCTAACCAATTTGTCAAAAAGAGATAATTGCAAAGCCTTAATGGGGGCATGGATTTTAAATTAAAGATAATCACCTGTACATTAACAAGACTATCATATCTGGAAAAACACGACATGGAAACCAAACTCACATGATATAGTGATGTGGGAACCAAAGTCTCGTATGATTCATTCAGTGTAACCACACCAGACACCCCAAGTTTTTTCAATCGTCGAACATCCGTAGGAAACGGAACAGCTCCCAACAATATAAACTGAAAAACAATTTAGACAGTCAGTGAGTAAGTAGCAAGTCTATATTCATCAACAACAACTTAAAAAATTTTACAAAAAATAAATAAATATTAATTCCTACTTTCAACAAACATTACTAATGAACACAAAACAAATCAGTAGCTAAGAAGATAATTAGTAAACACCTGATCGACTCTGTCCCACCAATGAAACTCGGATTCAATTTTATTTCTCAGAACATTGTACAACAGAGTAGGGTAAAACAGAGCACGAGCTCCAGCCCCTACCAAAACTTTCTTTGCATCCAAAACGACAACGCTTCTACATGAATTCTCATACTGATCTCCTTCCTTTATTTCCTCAATATACATCTTCTTCACATAACCCTCAAAGAAAAGGAAAAGAAACAAGTAGAAATAACCTCCTATGGATTACAACTACAACAAGAAGGAGAAGCTGGGAATTGAATGGATTATTTCATGGTTGATTGGAGGTTTAAGGAGGAGAGGCATGCAACAAATTAGGAAGAGGAGTTCCTTTTTTTTTTTGTGGGTTTCTTTTTTTCTCAACAAACACTGGAAAGCGATAGTAGCCTGCCTGGTGTTTCCGAAAGTTTGAAAATGTGGTCGTGTTTTTTTTTGGTAATAAAATAATAGTTTTTTTATTTTAATATTAGTATATTAAAACAATTAAAAAATATTAATTTAATTTCTTTTAAAAAAAGTAAAATTTTAAAAACAGGGGAGACCACAGTACGGAGCTACATCTCTCCGTTTTCTGCAAGGATTTGGAACTTGCCTGTTTCAAAGTGGAAACGGTTACGTAATGACGACAGCGTTTCGTGTCTTGAGCAGTCATTAAAACGGCGTGGTCTTTTTTTGCCTCTCTTCTTTCATGTCTTGAGAAGTAATATACTCATCGAGTTTAATTCTTAAAAGGTAATTATTTCCTAGTTTATTGCAAAGTATTTTTATTTTCTATCAATTCTTATTAGTAAACTAGAGTTTCTGCTAGTGGAGGGAGAGATTTTTTTGTCCTAAAATATTTGATGGTTGGACCATGAAGCGTTTTACTTCAAAAAAAAAAAAATATTCTGAAGCGGTAGCAAGACGATGTGTTAAAACAATGAGTTATCATGCGATTGGAATTGTGTTGAAGATGATGATTTAAAGTATTTTTATTTAAAAATATTTTTTATTTTTTTATTAAAAATTATTTTAAATATCAATATATTAAACTAATTTAAAAACATAAAAAAATTATTTTAAATAAAATAAAATTTAAAAACACATGATGCTCTCTTAGTTAAAGTGTTGATTGTAGATTCAAGAATGACAATGATTAAGTTTCATTTGAAATTATATTTTAATTAGAGGTTTATTTAAAATTAATATTTTAAAAATATTTTTAGATTGTTTGATATATTGATATAAAAATAATTTTTTTAAATAAAAAATATATTATTTTAATATATTTTCAAGTAAATAGCACTTTAAAAAATAATCATTATCATACTTTTAAACAATTTTTAAAGTTAGTGTAATTTTAAAAACAAATTAACCCTAAAATATAGTGATGATAATAATGGTAGTGTTAAAGTCAACAATTAATAATAACAGTAATAATAATGGTGGTTAAAATTATTGGATTATATTATAAATGGATTATTATCTATGAAATATTTTATATAATTTAACAAGTTATCAATATTTTTTAATAAATTAACTAAGTTTAAAGAATAATTATAAAATATTTTATATTAAAGAGCTTCTTTTTTTTTTAAAAAAAGACATATTTTAAAGAAAACAAAAGGTATATTCCGGCAAAACATATTTTAAAAATTTAATTTTTATAATTTCATGTAACTTGTTTTTAACTATGAACTCATATAAAATTCTTACATTTGTTTAGTTAAAAATGCTATTTGTTTTAAATAAAGAGGTTGTTTTTAACTTTAAGTTTTGTTATGTTTTTTTAGTCTATTACCAAGAATACTTATTATCGAGGATACTTTCAGATCAATTTATACATTGATTAAAACCAAATCTCTTTTTATATTTGTTATAGCAAATAATATATCATTTATTTATCTATTTATCGAGATTTTAATCACTAGCAAGGTAGTTGGAAAATTAAACTAGGTTTTTTAATTCAAAAAATAAATTTTTTAATCTATTTTATTTAAAAACATCTAATAAATAAAATCATAATATACTAATTGTTCGACTAAAAACACTCATAAATAGGTTTAAAAACACAAAAATTAAATAAAAAAAATCTCTCAGCCTTGTTCTACACTTTTTAGCAATATAAAAGCGCAAGAATAACTTAGTGACACTCATCTCACCAGGAAAATACATTTACATCAAATTTGATTTTTAGATATCAAACTGGTCACCCGACTGTTTTCACTTTCCTTCATTATTTTCCAGCAATTCTTTCTTGTTTTTTATAATATTAGAAACATAATTGTGAACAAAACAAAATTTTACGTCAAAACATGGAAGTTTTAAACTAAAAAGCCAAAAAAACAGTACTGCTGTTGCCTTTTACTTTGTCCCCACTCACCAACTTTAAATCATGTTTGAGAATAAATTGTAACTTGTTTTTCGTTAAATGTTTTTTAGTTTTTTAAATTGTTTTTTTATAATAATATCAAAAATAAAAAATTATTTTGATATGTTTACAAATAAAAAATACTTTTAAAAATAATTGTTATTATATTACAAAACACCCTTTAAAGCTGGTTTCTTACTATTATGATGATTATTTTTTAAAATAATATTTTTTTATTTTTAAAATTTTATTTTTAATACCAATACATTAAAATAATTAAGAAAAACTAAAAAAATAATTTTAAACAATTTTCTTTCATATTTTAAGCAAATTACATTTTAGACACGCACACACCATCTATATCACTATCTGACAAGTGGACGTAGTTAGGGGACAAGGAATCCTCTGCACGAATATGCTTCTCACGGGGTCATATTATTCACCGCGCTCCAACTACCAAGCTTTTGAGTCTCGAGGATGGGAACAAATTGAGTCGTGTTAGTGTTTTTTTTTTTTTTTTTTTTTTGGGGGGGTTTGGTGATAAGGAATATCCTCGCATCATTTTACTTATTTTAGTTGAGACGTTAAATGGGCTTTATGCGCAATTGCGGCAACAGAAGTGATGAGTAATTGTGTTTGATGACCATGTCCCGAACAAGGTTCAAATCTTCAGCACTGCCATGGTTAATTTATTAATTAACAGTAGGAATTGTTTTAAGACAAACCACTCCGACACCAAACATTGCTCAAGCAAGCCTTTAACTGATAGACATAGCAGCAGATTTTTAGTCATGAGTAACTTGAGGAAGGACATTACGGAAATTTAATATCACACAGATGCCGAAAACTATTTATTAGCATCCAACGCGTCTTTTAACAGATAAAGAATCACGTTTCTTAAATATTTCAAAAACAGAAGGCTTTGTCACCAGCAGCCTCCATAGCTTTACTCAGTTGAGGACGAATCCAGCAAATTATTAAAAATCACATTTCTTCCTTGAGTGAATTTGAAACTTGCAAAAGCTTTTCCTTGAGATTCTCCCAGGATAAGCCTCAAGTCGTGAGGTGACACAGTCCCCAGTCACACAAGACATGCCAATAAGGTTCTGGTTTTTTTAACTTCACAGAACACCTTCAAGGGGTCTCATTCATCCATTCCATGATTGAACAACACTAGATGATTATAAAACTTTTTGAGTCATCGTTTCTACAAGATAACTGCGACATGTACATGCAGCTACTGCAACAGATACAATGCCATCTGTTGAGGATCGCACTGAAAGATCATTCTCCCTATTTCTCAAAGCGCAAAACCAAATAGAAAGGCAGATTGATGATGGCGTGCTTTTACTAATTTTATTAAGGCAATAATATTAGTTTATGATGTCAAAGTAATGCAGAATAGTTAGAAGGTTTAACAATTCTATGAAAGATAAAAAATCTTTAATTATGCGACGAAGTTGGTGGATACTCATACTTCACACTTCCACGAGAACTGGATGTAGTATCTACAATAGCAGGTTTAGATACAATCTAAAATAGATGACTGAAGATTGAACAAGTAAAAAAAAAGAAGAATAATAATCAACTTCGTCTCCATGTTCCTAGCTATCTAGGAGCAGTATAGCTATCTAGGAGCAGTACAGGCTTATCTTTCACCTAACATAAGTACCATTCAAGCGCTTTCCCTTTGATCTCTGAATAGACGCAACTTTCTGAAGCCTAATCTGCTCCCTGAACTTGGCTATGAATTCACCAGCTTTCTTATCAACCTCGCTGGAGTAATCTCCTGCATCAATGTTAGTGGCAGGCGCAGAATGTTCATCTGAACTCACTCGAGAATTATCAGTCCCACTTTCTGAGTCTTTTGTGGACTCCACGGTAAGACTCTCTGAAAATACTTCCTTTTCCTTCTTCATATGCTTTGAAAGGGTTGGCTTTGGCATATGATGATGAGTATCCGAGTTCTTTTTATCAGAGCCAAGTAACATACTATCAGGTCCTCTTTTCATTTCATTCTTTCCCACGTTTACTGTTTGAGCTTCATCGCAAATTTTTCCAACTTTCTCATCAATGTGTTTTCTACCTACATCCTTAGCTTTTATTGTCTCTGCAGCATATCCACTAGCTCTAATAGTCCCAATAAATCTTCCCTTTAGTGATGAAGTTTTAACAGGTACTGCAGGTTTCTGATCTGATCTCAAAGAACCCTGCCCGGTCTCTCCACTACCCACTGTATGCTCATTCCTTTTCGCTTTCAAATCTTTCAATTCATCCTTTAAGCTTCTCCGTGAATCCTTTTGGAACAAAGACCCACCATTGTATCTCCTCAAATGAAATGCATTCAGTGGAGCATCAGCCTTCCTGGTTGCTAGTGATTGAGAAGCAGGAGGATAAGATGCACTATAACTCTTGTTTTTCCCTAATTCTTCGGTTTCAGAATTTGGCAATTCAGAAGAAATAGAGTGTGAGGGTGAGAGAGTGGTTGGTGAATACGAGGCTGAGCTCCCTTGGGATGAAAAAGATGTCGTGGACCTGAAAGATTGCGACTCGATTTGAGTTTCATCAACTGAGAGAGCTCTAAAATGTGAAGGACAAAGATGTTGTGGACCTGGACCCCTTTGAAATGACAAAGATGTTGTGGACCTGAAAGACTGCGATTTGAGAGACTCGAACTGTGTTTCATCGACTGAGAGAGGCCTGAGATGTGAAGAATCTCCAGCAAAAGAACCTACTTTCTCTCTAATTTCCTTCCTCTCAGATCTCGGATGCCATGGTATTTCGGAAGGTAAGGCTACAGTTTCATTAAAACTCTCCTCCAAGTTCTTAGGAGGCATATCACCAAAATGATTCTCGTTTGCACTCCTTCCAGAACCATCAGTGGAGCCTGAGGCCGAGAAGCTTGTACCGGACTCGTTTTCATTACTAAATAGAGAGCTATCCAGAACCCTAATCCTCGAATTTAAACTCCTAATTGGCAACCCTAGTGGCCTGTAACCATTTACTTGTCCTAGATTACCATATTCATCAAGTGAATAGTTCGGTTGAGACCCTACAACCATCGATTCATTCTGAAAATACTGAGAATTTCGAGCTTGAATCACATCGCTATCACCGTTCTCAAATGAATTTTCAAAGCCATTTTCAGCATTTAAAGATCCACCCTTGTTTTGTTCATTACCGTTAGTATCATCAACCGTAGACTCATCATCCCTACAGTACTGCGATTCAGTTTTGTTCAGTTCATGGCCATCAGTGGCATTAACCATAGACTCACCACTATAATACTGTGAATTCCAATTTTGGTATACATGTTTGTCATCAAACCCAGACAAATTTTCAGACCCATCATAAGAAATTGGAGAAACGTGAAAAATCCTAGACACATAAGATGATTGTGAATCATCAGAGTACTGGGGAGGTGGTTCGGAGTCAAAATCTTCAACATTTCTAAGACAAAACAAGCCACAACAAACAGCAAGGCCTATGAAAAGAGGGTGAGCAAGGCCCCAAAATTTAGTGAGAATAGTAGACTGGCTGATAAAGTCAGGAGCTTGTGAAGGAAATAGTGGAATAAGAAAAAGAAAGAGAACAAAAAAGAGAGACTTAGAGAGTACGTGACTAGTGAAAGATGATGACTTATTGGTTCTGGTGATGGGTTTTGAGTTGTCAAGCTCCTTGAGTGGGGAAGGGGGCTTGGAATGTGAGACAGGATCTGCCATTAATGGAGAAACAAGGGGTTTTTTAGGTTCTGCTGTTTGGCGGGTGTGAGAATGGGGAAATGAGATGGTGGAGGAAGGAAGACTTTGAACTTCGAAGGGAAGGAAGGAAAAAACAGGAGTCGGGAAAGGAGAAATCATTTATTACGGCCATTCGCATGTTTGAGAGTGTGAATAATATTTTTTATTTATTTTTAAAAATTGTTTTTAATATTAATATATCAAATAAAAATATTAAAAAAATAAAGGCGTCTCAATATTGAAAGTCAAACACGGAAACTCGGACGTCATTGATATTATCTCATTTGATAATTCTATATTTTAAATTCTAATTGTTTTTTCGCTCAACGTCTTTTTTGTTTATTGTTTTTTATTCTTCATACATTATTCTCAAAACTCTTTTATCATCTTTACTTGATTTTATATTATTTACTTTTATATTAAGATTCTATTTTCTAAAAAAAATTTGAATTCATTTAAAAAAAAAGATTAGCTCTTCTATCATTGTTTTAAAGATTATATTTTCCAGCATCAATAGATATAATTTAATCATTTTTTGAAACAAGTTTAAGCCCAAATAATTATAGTTTATTTGGATATTATATAACGAGAGATAACTAATCCATTATATATTTTAAATTCCAACAAGCCTCCTAATAAAACAAAAAAAAATCTATTTTTCTAAAAGTTGTTCTTAAAATTAAATAAAAAAATAATTTTTTTGTTCATTTATTTATAAAAAAGGGTGACGAAACCTAGGCCCATGAAAAGAAGAGGTGAAACTTAGCCTGCATTGATTTGAACCAGGCCCTAGCCTTAGCCCAATAAAGAACGATCCTTATTCACAAAGCAGCACGAAGCTGTATCGAAAACAGGAGAAACACGGCGCCAAAGGCTCAACCGCTACCCGCCGTAGCTAAACGCTTTAACTTCCCCATCGTTTCACTGCAAGGAGAGCGAATGGCAGGAAGAGGGGAAACAGTGAAAGAAGAGAATGCAGAGGCAGAGGCTATAATCACAAGAATCGAACACAAATCTCGCAAGATCGAAAGCCTACTCAAACAGTCAGTAATTATCAATCATTTTGCAACTCAATTTTGGTGTTTCTGTTTGTGATTCTTTGTTTCTTTTAGGGGTAGACCTGTCGAGGCTCTCAAAACGGTACTAGAAGGCTCGCCTCCCAAGACTCGAGACGAACGATGCAAGGTTTTGTTTTTTTTTTGTTTTTTTGGAAAAATTAAGGGAAGTTTTGATTTTTATATATATTTTTTATATGCGTAGTCAGCGAATTGGATCTTGGTGCATAGAGCGCTAATGGCAATAAAAGATGTGGATGCATTGTTCTCTGCTTTGGATCCCGAGTACTATGATATTCTGATGAAGTCAGTCCTTCTCTTTCTCTTCCTTATTTTCATTTCTTGTTTTATTTTATTTAACTTTCCCATCACCTGAATTTACATTTACAGTTAGAGAGTTGTAGTTTAGTTCTGTTCGATTCGATTTCTTGGGTATCCTCAATAGTGATCATAATTTTTAAGTTATGCGTGCGTGATATTACTGTCGTATGAGGACTCACTCATTGTCAATGACATTTTTCTTTTCAATTTTGTTTCAGTGACGAATCAGAGAACCTTGTCCTTTAACGTAGTTTTTTTTTTTAGAAAAACAAATAGATAGTTGCAGCCTCTTAAGAATTCAAGATGGTGTCGACCCTTTTTCGTGATTTAGTGAAGCCACCTCATATCAAGCAACGGTAGTATTTTGAATTTTGTGGCTTTTCTCATCCATAGAAGAATTCTTCAAATGAAAGTCTTTGGCAAAATTATGAATTGGGTCTTTTAAAATATTTAAAAAATATTTTTTATTATTTTTTTATGTATGTTTGACAAGTAAGACCTTGAGCAATCTTCATTTCGTATTTGAGACCTTTTGTTAAGCGAAGACAATCTTCATTTTATAAAGTATAACTGATAATTATTTATTATTGAGGCTTTTTGTTAAGTGGAAGCTTTGAATCATTGCTCAAACGTTCCTTAGCTTAATCTGGCTTCATTTCAAGGTTAACCTTTATTGTTCCTTCAGCCTGTTTAGATATTTTACCACTTCCTCTCCAAATATATTGATTTTTCATCATTTCACAACTTTTAACTTATTTTTGGTGTAATCTTTTAATCATGAACTGATGTTCTATCAATTTCAAACTTCTAGCTTGGCATTAACGTCTCTAAACTTGAAATCACTTGGAATTTGTAGCAGCTACCCATTTTTCTGCTACAAGAACGAAGCCAGCAGAGAGTTAAGATATTTCTGTTGGTGTGATCATTCATGAAAACTAATTATTATTGCCAGTGGGTTTTTATCTAAACGAAGCCCTTGGCTAGTCTTTATTGGTTGTGGGGAATATTTCACCTGCATGTTGCTGTTCGTTAGTAAACAGTTCCTCAACATAAAGCTTCTGTGTTTTCTAGCTTTAAACTTCTTGTTTTGAAATATAAAATATGGTCGAGAACTCTCTTCAATTTCATCAAACCTTAATTACCTTGAGGATAAGATTCTCGCCATTTACAAAATGGTATCCTGATTCTCCTTCCAAAGCCTCCTTGTAAGAACCCCCCCTGTTGTATCTTCTTGGTATATTACTCAGCTGTTTCATCAGGAGAAATAGAATGGAACTGATTTTGCCTACAACAGTTAAAGTGCTATTTATATATTTTTTTTTCATGAAGACATCATAAATGCAAATTTTTACTTATCGTTCCGTAAATGTGATCATCCATTTCTCTTGTCCAAGGACACTTTTATACATGTCCACAATTGGCTTTCTGTGTGACACATTGCACCATATTTGTGTTGCCCCTGGTGTCTACTCTGGAAGGATTTGTTTCATCCTGGCACATTTTGGATCCCTACTTGTATGTGAAAAAAAAGGCTGAGCATGAACTTCAAAGGTACAAATGAAGCTGACGTGCTTCAATCTTGTTCTTGGCTGAGCTTTAATACTAATAATCACATGCTCAGTAATGTGGACATAGTTGGCTGTGGATCCTTACCGGTTTGTGTTGAGCACTAAGATCACATGCTCAGTAATGTGGACATAGTTGACTGTGGGATTATCAAATCCTTACCGGCTTGTGTTGAGCACTAACAGCAACACCCCTCAACCCAAATGCCCGAAAAGGAATGGGTGAATCGAATCTCCATCTAGCATTTCATGTGGTCTATTCATTTGTCGTTCTCATTGTTTTCGTGAAACGTTCTGCAATAGAACATTAATTCAGTGATATCATATATTCCACAGGTACTTGTATAGGGGATTGTCTACTGGAGATCGGCCCACATGCGACCAGTGCCTGCGGATACATGAAAAATTGACGGAGAAAGCTGGCATGGGTTGCATATTGCGTTCCCTTGCAGACACTGTGAATACCGTTTGACTGGATCGTGTACACCAAAAGTTCAAATTTATACCGTTTGACTGGATCGGGTACACCAGATGTTCAAATTTATTCATCTGTCATATATAATTTTGAACGATGATAGTGTGCAGGGACCATCAGGGTTTTATGTTCCAAAAGCTTTGCCTTGCCTTGAAGCTTGTGATTTGGTATCTGGTTTCTTATTTCTTTTTTTTTCTTTTTTTTTTATTTCATTTTTATTCGAGCTGGTCATTGTATTGATATATCTTAAATTAGCTGCCAGCTACCTACCTATCAGACAAGATTCTTGTACCTTCGTCTCGGAATCAATGTAACTTCATCTCTGAATCAATGTAAGAGTAACTGAAATTGGATCACATGTCAAGGTAATGTAATTCATGCGGGATAAAAAAACTTAAAAGAAAAGAAAAGAACCAAGAAGTGGAAGCCAAAAGGAAAATAAAAGAAAAGGTTGGAATCTTGTAATTTTTATTCAATTCATCAATATTTAATCATAAATGTTTAAATATTAAAAAATAAGTGGCTGACTGTCTAATATTTAAAAAATAGAATATAAATATTAAAACCTTAACTACATTGTGTTTATAGCCTATTAAATAAAAATGTCGACTAATAACTACATTAAATTTAATAAATAAAATCCAATAATACAAGGGTTAGACTATCTTTATAATCATATGAATATTTAAATCATGCACGGGGTCTGATGTTCCTTTGATCATGGATTTCTGTTTTTTGTGTACTGCGCGAACTCCCCTTAATTCCCAAGGCATGGATTTGATGGTTTTTCACGTTAAAGATTACTTTGGAAAAGCATTCGCAACCACTGTATGAAATTCTTTATTAGAGATCGAGCCACAGAGAAAGCTGGCTATGCTATTAGAGATCGGGCCACAGACAAAGCTGGCTATGGTTCAATATGACGTTCTGAAGAAGGCACTGTTACCGTTTGACCGCATCAGGGGCAGATCAATGCGAAAACTTCTACGGTAGTAGCATATATAATTTCTAGGGATGATAATGTGTAGAAACTATCAGGGTTTTGTTCCAAAAACCTTTGTCTTGCCTTGAAGCTCGCGATAAAGACATAAACCTTCTTGTTTTATATTTTTTTTTTAGATTAATAGAAATGTTTAGCTCAACTTATGTGTATTGTGCATTATGATTAATCTTATAAATTTTAAAATTAATAACTATATAAATCTACAATAACTATTAATAACTATTAAATAAACAATCAAAAACTCAAATTTAAAATGATAGATAAAGCAAACTCATTGATGTAAAATTCTTGCAACTTTAACACCAACTTTTTTTTTAGATTAACGTGGGTGTCCGGGCTAGTTTATGCGTACCACGACTAATCCCACGGGCCCTGAAGTTAACGACCATGTAAGTCTCTAGTGG